CAGCATCCCTAACACATCCCTAACGCACAGCATCCCTAATGCATCCCTAAAGCACAGCACAGCATCCCTAACACATCCCTAAAGCACAGCACACCATCCCTAACACATCCCTCACAGCATCCCTAACGCATCCCTAAAGCACAGCATCCCTAACGCATCCCTAAAGCACAGCATCCCTAACGCATCCCTAAAGCACAGCATCCCTAACGCATCCCTAACGCACAGCATCCCTAACACATCCCTAAAGCACAGCATCCCTAACGCATCCCTAAAGCACAGCATCCCTAACGCATCCCTAAAGCACAGCATCCCTAACGCATCCCTAAAGCACAGCATCCCTAACGCATCCCTAAAGCACAGCATCCCTAACGCATCCCTAAAGCACAGCATCCCTAACGCATCCCTAACGCACAGCATCCCTAACACATCCCTAAAGCACAGCCTGCAGTGCCAGGTCCTGAGCTCTTCCAGGGGTGGTGGCTCCATCACCTTCCTGGGTGATATTCCTGGAATCATAGAAGCAACAAAAGACATCTAAGATCATCCAAGTCCAACCGTTAACCTGTCACTGCTGCCACTCCTAAAGCACAACCTGCAGTGCCAGATCCTGAGCACTTCCAGGGGTGGTGACTCCACCTCCCTGAGAAATATTCCTATAATCACAGAAGCATCAAAAGGTGTCTCAAGATCATCAAGTCCAACCGTTAACCTGTCACAGCTGTGATGATGACACCTCCAGATCTGAACTGACAATGTGAGATCAGCTCTCTGTGTTAAGTCCCTGGAAAGATGTTGCTTCAGCTGAAGTGTTTTAGTGAAAGATAAAAAGGACCTCGTGTTGCTGAGAACACTGACCCTTTATAATTGCCTAGAAGTCTGGAAAGACTTTACCTGCTGGGCATCTCCACCCTCTGACAGGTGTGTAGATGGGCACTGGCACTCTCCATGCTAGGACATGGATGATAGCACTGATGGACTAAAGCAGAAGACAGGCTGGAGGTGTCATCACCATGTCATAATGAACCTCTAAACCAAATCCTCCAGCGCCAGGTCTGGACACTTCTCAAACACCTCCAGGGCTGGTGACTCCACCACTTCCCTGGGCAATACCCCATGCCTGACCACCCTGGCAGTGCCAACATCTGTCCCAATGTCTCACGTGGCTCCTCTCTCTCCACAGTGGTGGTGCCACCCCAACACTGCCCAACCTGACCCCGCGGCACCGGCAGCTCGTCCCCACGCCCTGCGGCCCCGTGAGTACTCACCCCACAGCAAAGGCTGTCCAGCCCTTCCTGGAGCAATCCCAGTGACCCCTGGAGGTGTCACCCATCTCCTGGGATCTCCTGAGAGCTTTCCCTGCACTGCTCACAACATCGCAGGGCAGCACAGTGGGTTGTGCAGGTTCTGTGTTGGATCACCTGGGAGGGATGGAAAAATATGTCTCAAATCCATGCCCATGGATTATGGTGGGCCACAGGTTTCATACTTTAGGGTTTGTCACAGAATACACAGCTCCTGACATAGAAGCATGGAATATCCTGAGCTGGAAGGGACCCCAGGATCATCAGTCCAACTCCTGCTCAGGACACCCCTAACAATGCACCCTGTGCCTGAGAGTGTTGTCCAAACACTCCCTGAGCTCTGTCAGCCTTGGGACTGTGACCACTGCCCTGGGAGCTGTTCAGTGCCCAAACACCTCTGGGAGAAGAACCTTGTCCTGACATCCAACCTAAACCCACCCTGACACAGCTCCACGCTGTTCCCTGTGGTCCTGTCACTGGTCACAAGAGACTGGTGCTGCCCCTCATGAGGAAGCTGCAGACCCCTGAGGTCTCCCCTCAGTCTCCTCCTCTCCAGCTGAACAAGCCAAGTGCCCTGAGCCATTCCTTGTGTGGCCCCTCCAGACTCTTCCCCATCCCTATGTCCTTCCTCTGGATGCTCTCTAAGATCTTCACATCCTTCTGATATTGTGGTTCCCAAAACTGCCCCCAGGACTCGAGGTGAGGCCTCAGCACAGAGCAGGACATGAGCCCTCCTGACACCTGAGCTGTGGTTGGCATCAAAGCACCTTTGTCCATTGCCAGAAGCCAAACACACACAGTGTGACCTGAAACAACACAATGGGAGGTCAGCTCTGTTAGGTTCCTGCAGGGATGTTGCTTCAGCTGAAGTGTTTTGATAAAAGATAATAAGGACCTTGTGTTGCTGAGAACACTGACCTTTTCTTTACAATTGCCTGAAACTCTGGGAAGACTTTACCTGTTGGACATCTCTGTGCTCTGACAGGTGTGTACGTGGACATTGGCACTGCCCATGCCAGGACACAGATTGCAGCACTGTGGCCTTTGTGGGGCACTGAGAAAGCAGAAGGCAGGCTGAAGTATAAACCAGGGCAGCCTGAGATTAATTATGAAATAAAGTTAGACTTCTCCCTTCCCTGAGAGTTTCCTTTTCAGAGAGTTTCTCTTCCCTTTCCCTGCTCTGTGCCATTTTCCCAACTGGCCTTAGTGCAGCTTTTAGGAACAGCAGTGAGTTTACTCTGCATTAGGTGTTTCAAATGCTCTTCCTTTGCAGATAAAACCATGCTCAGAGCTCTCATTTCCCGTGAAGATCTACTTCTGTGTCACTGTTGTGTCTCTGCTGAGCGTCCTAGGGCTGACCATAGAGACGTTTGTCCGGCAAACCGAGGAGGATTTCACCATCTCCCTCATTCAGCTGGTTGGAGTTGGTAAGAAACACACTTTGACTTTTCAAACAAACACCTATTTCCCCAAGGTAGGAATTAAGCAGCAACTGAAGGTTCTTAGGGAAGAGATCTTGACTGTGCAGCTGTGCCAGAAAAACTTACCAGTTCCCATTGGGAATTTGGGTGTCCACACTCCAGGCTTGGCACAGAACATCATCTCCTGACAGGAGCCATGCTTGGACATGAGTTGGGGTTCGTTTCAAGGCACCTTCCCACATTGCCAGTGTGATCTGAAACAACAAAATGTGGGGTCAGCTCTCCCTCAAGTTCCTGCAGGGATGTTGCTTCAGCTGAAGTGTGGAAATCAGGACCTCATTTTTCTTTAAAACTCTTTTTTTGTATAATAATTCTTGTCCTACTGGATATTTCCAGTCAGAGCTTCAGTAGAAACTGATGTTCATATTTTGGGTCCATTTGCATTAAACAGAAATGAAACTTACCGTAAGATAATGAACTCTGAGTATTTCAGGAAGTTCTCTGCAGTGGCCTCAGCATGTCTTGACTGCCCAGAGAGTGTGGAGAAGGAGAGACTGGGGGTGTAAGACTGGTCACATGCAGCCCTTGCCTCCAGCTTTTCCCCAGAGGGAACACAGACAACAGCTTCACTCCAGGCTCGGTAACTGCACACAAACAATGCTTTAATCCCAAACCTCTGGTTTAACGAGCAGCTTTTCACCCAGGGCTCAGCTCACCACCACAAACTGGTGCTGGAGCAGCCCAGAGGTTCCTCCCAGCTCCTGGTGGTGAACACTGCTGAGTGCTTCAGAGGGAAATGCAGAACCCTCATAAGAAACCAAATCAGTCGCAGGATCTTATACCCGAGGAAGCTGGAGGCATCTCTGAATGCAAGTTCATCTATTTTTTGCAGGATCTTATATCCGAGGAAGCTGGAAGTATCTCTGAATGCAAGTTCATCTATTTTTCCCCCAAACCATCTTTTCTCTATGGTAGACAAAGTCTGACAGAACAGGTGATAGTTCTTTAAAGAGGAGTGGATAACAATCTCTTGGATTTACCATTAGATACACTTAACTTTAAAGAGAGTTTGGGATGTAACCTGTTCACTTCCCAACCCAAGGGAGTGCCCTGTATATGAGACATGTGCATTTCCCACCTCTGCCAAAGGATAATGCTCAGAAGAGAGTTTAATTATTTCTACAAATTTCTTTTGGTTTAGCACCTGAATTTGTACAACAAGGAAATACTGTCTTAAGTCTTTCAGGTCTTCCAGAGATTATAAACATGCCCCAAACAATCACATGATTCACTTTGTAATTTGCCAATCACTTTCTCAATCAGTTAAGAGCAGTGAAGAAGGAAGTTCATTCCCTGCAGGTTTGTTTAAGTTGTTGTGTCACTCTGAAAACCTGTACCACACTTTGCCCCCATGTCCCAGCCTAACACTGGATGGTTTGATGTGTGGAATCCAGGAAGGAGCCCTCTGGAAGAAGAAATCTATTGTTCCCTTGGCTATAGGAAAACATAACCAGTGTTTGCAGGAACATCCTATAAAGGACCAGAGCCTTTTCCTTATCTAAGCTTTGCCAAAGCAGCACAGAGTTCACAGGGGTCAGATCACACAGACAATGCTGTGGAGGTGTGTGTGAGCAGTAAACTGCTTGTTAATCACTTGAACTGCTCTCACTGGGAAGGTGATGTAAGTTCAGGTGTTTAATAGAACTGGTTTTGCTTCATTTAGTTCAGATACAGGATTGGACACAATGTTCAGTGAAGTAAGAGAGTAACACAGCACAGCTGCAGCTTGCATAGCAAATACACTGCCATTCTCAGGGTGTTACTGCACAAGTAATGCAAAAATCTAAGTCATGATTTCACTTCTTATGTGCTAAGCACAGGGAGAGTATTTAAGGCTCAGGTTCAGGCTCCTTGGTGGGAATAAAGACACTCCTGACTGAGGAGCCTCAGTCCTGATCCTTCCACTTTGCCATGTGGCTGCAGCACACTGAAAATCCTCCCCGTGTGCTGTGTGCTCACCTGGGCCTGACCTTGCCTTCTCCCCAGTGTTCTGTGTGTACTATGTGAGCCGAGGGATCCTGCAGGAGAATCGCCAGGAGCTCATTGTCTTCGTGCTCTCCATCCTGCTCGTCATGTTCCGCTCCATCGTCAACTTCACCGTGCTCCCTGCCGAGCAGAAACCCAAACTCCTGGTTAGTCTCCTGGGTTTCATTCACTTCTCCTTTCTCCACACCTTGGGGGTGAAAATGCAGAATTAGGACAGGCAAAACATGTGGTGAGGGCAATGAGGACAAGAGTGAGGCTGAATTAGTCCTGTGGGATAACCAAATTTGCACATCCACAGTTGCAGATCTGCTGCTCTGGGAGGTTCTTTTCGTGGCAGCAGCTGAAAGTAACATAGATGTCAAAGAATTACACAGGGTTACTGCAAAAGATATCCTTCACTTCACCCACTCTCCTCAGATTTCCATCTGTGGAATGTGTGGCCTAAAGTCACATCAGTCTAACCCATGAAAGGAACTGGAATCTCAGTCCTATAGGAAAGGACACAGCCATTAGCTCCATAAATGTAGCTTTGTGTCCTTATGAGATTTATGGGAACCTGCTGCAAGGAAACAGAGAAGACCCAATGAGCAAGGGAGATCCTGCCACTCAGATTATCTTGTTTGCATTTCACAGCCATAAAGTTTAACACAGGGATTGTATTCTATGCCCCACTGAGATCTGCAGTTAAACTTCCACTTGCTGTGCCTTCCTTGTTATCACATAGCTGTGAAGTCCTTCCAGAATTATTGTTCAGGAGGAGGGATGGCAGCCAAGCCAGGGAGATAGAGCAAAACAGGATTTGCCTATTCAGTTTAGCAGTTATCCCCACTGGAATTAGTGTGGTCTGTGCCACAAGGAGGCTTAGAGCCACAGACTGTCAAACAAAGCTGTTTCTGTAAACTGTGTGATAAAGCCTCAAAGAAAAACGTGCCACAAGTCATGATGGTGTTACAGAGAGCACAGAGGTTATGGTTCTCTTAGCAGTCGTGAAACTATTGCTTTGAAAGTGAAAAAAACAGAGCAGCCACTATGGGTTCACACTTGTCTCCAGGCCTCCTGGTTCCCTTACCTCTTCACTCATCTGTTCCAGCAAGAAGCTTCCAAGTCTCAGCCTTGTTTCCTTTCCCACCAGGCCAGATTTGTCCTGATCCTCCTGGTTGGCTCCTTTGATGTGATCTGTGCCATCATCCTCATCCAGAGCCAGAGCATGATGGCATTCCGAGTGGGGGGAGCCCTGGAGAGCCTCCAGGCACAGTACTTCATGCTCAACCTCTGCTTCTCCATGCTGACTTTTGATCTTCAGGCACAGGTAGAGACCTCTGGCCCCCAGTTCCTTCTTTCCCTCTTGCTGAGTGTCTTGGACCAAGCTGAACTATTCACTTCCTAGAGCAATCCTAGAGCCTCTCTTACCCTTTAGATAATATTAGCTTACAATACTGGTCACCCCATCCATAAAAATGAACAACATATATTTTATCTTTGTCCTGCACAAAAGGAGAACTGAAACCTGCTGATTTTGGGGAAGTTTAGCCATCAAACCAGTTGCTTGCAGAAGCTTCAACCCACCATGAGCTCCTAAATAAGGAAGGTTATTCCTGCACATCTCAGCCCACAGACTGTTGTTTTCCAGCCATCCCAGCTGCCTCCTACACTTGAGGAAATGAGACTGGGATGGGAGAGGGGAACCTGACCCAGCAAATGGGGTGAGGTAGGAACTGAAGTTACAGATGAGGGATGTGAAGTCAAGATGTGTTTAGAAAGTCCTTCTGCCCACTGCCCCTCATTGCTACCTTAGTGCTCTATTACCTTGTGCTTTGTTCTTTGTTGCCCTTACACCACTCAGGGATGCCCCTCTGGCCTTGTTTCCCATTTCATCAGGAGAAATTTTAGCCTTTAGACCCTGTGCCCAACTCAGTGTTGCTGGGAATTGCTGTCAGATACTTTTTGGTGGCTGTATGGCCTGAAACCCAATACTTTTACCAACCCTTTGCCTCTTTCAGCTCTGCCTGTGCATCCTGCTGATCAGCCTGCACGAGATCACCCTTCTACACAACATCATCTCAGCGACAGGTGCTGTGTGGGCCTGCCTGAAGGTCACCATTGGCATCCTGGCAGTAAGTGTGACCCTCACAGTGACCCAGCAGGGATGGACAACCTCTGGGACTACAAGTTCTAGTCACAGCCATCCCATTCTCCATCCCAGTGCTGAGGGAAGGGAGCCAGAATGGAGAGAGCAGGAGCACCAGTACTGAAACCAGATCTGTGTCTCTCAGCTGAGCATTCAGAGTCAGTGTCACATTATCATCATTTCTTTCAAGGGACATTGTTTTATTCTCAGTTCTTGGTCACCTACTGTAATGAAACCCATAGGATCACACTGCCTTCAATATTTCAACCTCTTTGACAAGGTTAGATGAAACTGGGAACAGTCCTCTAAGTTATTAGAGTGTTATACAGACACTGCCCAGGCCTTAAATCCTCAGGAACCCACACCAGAAAGATGAGTGGTCCTTATCTGAGGATCTCCTCCAAAGGTTGTGACAGTTTCCAGGTTCACATAAGGATTTGTGGCCTTGAAGTGTCATTTCTCCTGTCTGACTGAGCCTCCTCTGACGTCCTGCGCCTCTGTTCCAGGAATGATTGCAGAATCAGGGCCAAAGTACATCAGATATGTCAATCTTTTATTACCAGGAAGGAGTTTAGGGGTTCCTGGGGGTGGATGTATTTTTAGACTCCTTGGGTGTTTGCACACAGATTCCTGCCAGCTGAAGTACCACATGCTTTCATGGCTTTCCTTGCTACAAACAGAGGTAGCACCAAGCATTGTGCTTTTAAAACACGTTTGTGACTCAGGTGAACAGTGCACAGCATCACCTTTCTCCTAATCAGAACAACTTCTATTTTCCTGCTAGGATTAAGGTGTAAAACACCTTTCAGCTACTTTTCCCCTCCCATCAGAAACAAAGTTGATCTGGTCAGTTGTTCTTCACAGATTACAAGTTCTTTGCTTCTCCTTGATTTGCCTCTAGGCACTAAAAGAGACACTGTTTGTTCTAAGGAAAGAAAAGGGTTGCCTCAGTCAGATGTCTCATGTCTCACACATGATATTCCTTATGCTTTCATCAACAGCAAATGTGTTTCTTAACAGTTCAGCCAGGAACTGTCCTAGGGGCAGCAGTCCCTGCCTGCTTTCCCAGTCCCAAGGTGAATTGTGAAACAGTTCTGACAGTTAAATCCTCATGCTTCTCCCACAGTTTAGTTCTCAGTGACTGTACTTGTCTGTAGGAAAAACAAAGGTGGAGAGACAAGTCACAGGGAGCTGGCAGCCTGTTAGCTATGAAAACACTCATTTGTGGGAGAAAAATCTGAGCATAGCCAAAGAAAAAAGAGATGTCCACTCCTGGCCCAGCTCAGTGGGAAACAGAGACTATTTCCTGCTAAAAAACACAGGTGGAGAAGGTAAATGATAGAGTATATGAATTATAAAGCTGTCTAAATCTCATCTTGTCTTACAGATTTTGAAAGAACTGAAACCTCTAGTGTGGGTTTTCCTGATGCAAAACATCCCTGAGGTGGCATATCTCATCTACCTGCTGTACACGGTAACCCAGCAAACTCACCTGCCTGGGGAGCAAGGCTGGAGGCCTCAGTGCTGCATCTTGGCCCCAAACATGCTGCCTCACCCTGAGCACACCCTTCACTGCAGCTCCTCTTAGGTTCAGAGAGCAGCAGGCATGTCCTGCCTCTTCAGGATCAGCTTTTCAGGACAGGAACCATGTCAGTTTGCTCTTGGACTCGTGAGTTGGAGAGGGAGAGGCTCTGGAAGTCTCTGCAACTGGCAAAGTGTCCAAAATGATTAGAAAAAAAATGAAACAAAATCTTCCAGTACAAGATATACAGCCCAAAAATGCCTCCCCTCCCTCCCAAGTAGTTTCAAGTGGTGCCAGAGCATTTGACCAAGGCCTCAAGTGATTGTATTTCTCAGGCAGCCCCAGCTGTCAGTCCTGCTGTAGCCAAAACAAGGCAGTGCAAGCCCAGCAGACTCCAGGCTTGGGCAGTATTTTGGCACTGCAATAACTCATTTATCACCCAGCACCTTCCACAGCACGGGTGAGAGGAGGAAGGGCAAAGGCAAAGCAGAGTGTTCCCCCTGGGCAGGGCTGGAATGCTGAGAGCAGCCCATGTTCCTCATCCTTCACATCCCCAGGGTCCTGAGGCAGATACAGGTCAGGGCTGTGCTCATCCATGTCCTTGGGCTTCTGCTTATCTAAGTGTGCAGTCACATCAGCCTCTGCCCATCACCCCAGGCCTCTCTGAGCTGGCCAAGCACAGCAGACACACTGTCTTTACCCTCCATCATGTCATCAGGAAACTAAAATGGTTTAAAAGTGACCAGTTGGGGTTATTTCTTCCCCTCAACCTAGTAACTTCTTTCACAGATTCAGTGCTTGATTGCATTTTCAGGGCTTTGTGGCACTAGGTGTTGATTGTTTTATGTCTCCATCTTCCTGCAGGTGGTAAGGGAGTGGGGAAAAGGCAATTCTTACACCCTGGAAGCTGCTTTCATCACTGGCTCTTGCATTTCTGTTGCAATCAAGTCTGTTCTGTTCTGGGCACTGATTCATGTCTATCGCAGCTTTGGGCAAGGGCTGAGGGAAAGAAGTAAGTACTGCAAAAAGTCAACTGGGTAGGTTTGAGCCTGTTGTGTCACTGTCACAATGAAGTGGAGAGCCAGGAAAATCGTTAGAGCTAAATAAAAGGCATCAAACACTTCTGCAGCCTGAGCATTTACTCACCTGACAAGGCTCAGAAGCTTGGATGGAACACGTGTGGTTCCTCCCTGAACACTGACATTAGTCAAAGTTGCTGCCAACCTATGCAAGAAGTCCCCAAAAAACCAGATCTGTGTGGGAAAATCTCCTCTATACCACATACATGTCATTTTTCTTCTTTATCATGCTGTATACTACCAAAGAGACAGAATAAAGGGACCTAGAGAGACACTAATCTTAACCCAAACCTCCCTTTACCTGAAGGACACTTTGGCATTGCACTGGTGCTGACTGATCTTCCTTTCTTCCCACAGTGTTTTCTTCCTATGGAAGGATTGACTCCTGAACTTGTGTTCTACCTGCAGCTCTTACAGAGCGAAGTCACAGCTGAGAAGCTCAGACCAAGGACCTGCATTCAGGGTGTAAGACAATGGGTCACTTGCACAGGGGCAGAGGAGGTTGTCAGGACATTGTTCCACCTTGCTGGGTGGTGTTGTGCTGGAGCTGGAGCAGCACAGCTGGGAATGGGGTTTAGAAAGCCAAGTATGGTCAGGAAATGAACAGTAATCCTCTCCCTTCAGCGAGTTCTGCTGACAGGACAAAGCATCTTTCACTCCTTGTTTCCTGATGGTGCTTTGCAACCACAGGAGGTTCACAACCTGCATGTGAGTACAGTGTGTTGCCAGTTGACTTTTCCTAGGTACACACAAGCATAAGGACAGTAATTTGCACATACTTGAGTCTGGAGTGGATTCTCTGCCACCACCTCTGAGCTCTGTTGCTGCCCAGGTCAAGCCCTGCTGTGGTTTTGGTGCCAGTTGTGTTCCCTGATCTCCACTGTGGCTAACCCCAGTGCTGGGGCTCTTCTTCCTCCTTGGAATTCAGAGCATTCAGTTACCTGTTTTGTTCATCTCAGCTGCCTATGAACACTCCTCACTGTAGCCTCATGCCTTCCTCTAGTGGCTCTAACCAATGTGCCATCTCATCCACCAGTGACTGTTACAATAAGCCTTTAATACTGTAAAGTTTGGTATTTTACTGACTGGAACCTTTAACTACTGCCTATTTTTTAATAAAGTATAAGCACAGTTTGTGTGTGGGGAATTCCTTCACATTTAACAGCACCAATTCCTTGGGAAATGCTTACAAATCAAAGAGGGGAGAGGCTGGAACTGCAATCCATGTGTGCTGTGGACATTGCCACCACAATCCTCCTCAGACACATCTTTATCCTGCACTGCAAAAAGGAGTTAAAAACACATTGCAGCTTATTAGGGAAACTTGCAAGGATTATATCAACACTTCTATGAATATAGATATGTATTTCTTATCCTAATCTAAACCTAAATCAAAACTCTGCATTTTTCTCATCTTGCTCTCCTAAACCTGACTGGAATCCACTTTATGGCTAACCCAAGGGAGGCACGAAGAGGTTAACTGTGCTGCACAGCTGACAGAGCTGCAGCTGATCACAGAGGGACTGTGAATTGTTGCTACACTGAGGAACACAATTGAGCACAGTGTTGCTCTGAGCCAACAGGCAGCAGGGCTGGCCCAGAGCAGGACAGAGAGATCCTGCAGGAAACCTGCCCTTGCTCACAGGGAGCTGCAGAAGGTGTGATTGCTGCACAGGTAATGTGTCCCTGACACACAAATGGGGACTTACTGCTTTGGCCATGGACAGCAAGTTTGTCACCAGCCAGGCAAGGAGAAGATGGAAAAATTCCTTCCAAGGTGCCTTGTAAAAACACTGAACTCCATTCACAGTAGCTGTGTTACCTGCACGAGGTTTCTCCTCACATTTATCACTCATGATGAACTGTTGGAATGGGTTAGAGATTATGAAATCAAAGGACTCGTAATCATAATCATGAGCCACAAGTTCCATGGAAGACGTGCCTAGAACTTCACCAGAACATGCAAAGACAAGGTCAGAACAGGCATTTAAACTATATTTGCAATCATAAACTTATTAGGTATCCAAATTATCAACTAATCTGACATCATTGCCCTTAGCTAGTTCTTTCCTCATATTTCTATCCTTAGGCCTTCAAAAAGGGAGTTATTTAGTCCAACTGGTACATAAGTTTTGCTTCAACCTGCCCAGCAAATCCAGCATTGATTTTTACACTCCTGAGCCAGGATTGGTGTCAGAGACACTGAAAAAAGCCTCAGGTACATACACAGAAAGCAGATGGCTCTGTCCCACCCTCAAACCTCACCCTGGACATTTGCCTTGTGTATTCCCAACTTTTCTCCTCTCCCCAGTCAAAGTGCTGCTTGACAAATCCAACTTTACAAAAAGATTTTATTGAAAGGATTGAAAAATATTTGTTTTCAACAATATTTAAAACAAGTTCTCAATGCATTAACAATATGTAACAGGATTTTTTTTTCAGATTTTAAAAATTCAGTACACTTTATTATTCCCTACTACACAGCTGTTAATAACTTCTGCCATTTTCTCCTAGAGGGTAACTTTTGTTTAAAAAAAAAACCCCAAATTAATTTCCCAGCTTCCATTTTGGCCCTTTGTAGACTGGAAAGGGTTTGTAGGTTCAGTGACACAAACCCTTAGATTAGAAATTCTTCATCATCAAATCCCTATTTTTAGTACAGTTTAAACAAGTTACTTTGAATAAGCTACATCAGCAAACTGAGTTTTTATTGCCAATAAACCAAGTTTGTGGTTCTGCTCTGCACAGAAGTCACCCACACCTGAAGCAGTTAAAGATGCAGAACTCAAGGCCTGCTCAGACCTCACTAACCTTGTTTGGGAATTGCAGTTTGAGCATTAAAAGCCTTATATAAAGGGACTTTGTACACTCAGATAAATTTGTAACGTATTAATGCAGCCTGGGCTGTGTTTTGCTGGAAAGCAGCTGCTCCAGGTGGGACCAAGACAGCTCTGAGAAGGAAAAGCAAGGACTGGAGTCACTGTCTTGCCTTGAGTCAGTGACTGCAGCTCTCCCTGGGCTGAGCAGTCACTCAAAAAGGTTC